ACTCGATTTAGGAAGGTCAGTATCGTATGTACCCGCTCTCACTAAGGTCAATATGACGGACAAAGGTACCTGGGCACCTTGCCTTAAGATAACAGGGAACGGCACTAATCTTATAAGAAGGCTCGCTTCGACATGACGCTGTGCCAGCAGTCAATTATATTGTTTCATCTAAGGGGTTTCATGGATGGGACAGGTAGCAGTATAACCAGGCACAGTAGGTGGCAATTATAAGTTCACTATATTATTGTTCCAATGACCAAAAGAGTTTGTAGGCCAGTTTATCCCCAAGAACTAGCATATTGTCCATGAAAACGTGAATACAGGGCCGGCACTGGCCTGTGGAAATACGGTGGTGCTCAAGCCCGCCGAGCAGACATCCTAAAAAGTGAGCTGAAGTGGCTCATTGCTCGGTCTGTTCGAGCCAAACCCGACTATGACTGCACCAGCATCTGAAGTCCACTGCCGATATGTATTCTGCTTCCGCATATACTCAATCGTACAGTCAAAACATGCATTTTCCAAAACGACGCAGCCGCCACCCTTGTGTTCAGAAATCTGACCAGCAAGGAAAATCGCCCATCGACAATGACCTTCGACTGCAATGTAATTGCTGTAGCGCCATTGATCGATTGGCTTCCAAAGACGGTTCTTTACCCAGTGAGAGGCCTGCAGGGTACGCGCTTTCGTAGAAACTGTATGCTGGGCTCGGGAACAGGGGCCGACGGCAAAGCTCCTTGCAAGTGTCTTGAGTATTGATGTGACGGCGACTGTTCCAATGAGGTATCCTTGATGCCGAGCCGCAAGACATAACAGGGCTTGTTGGGATGTCGGAACTCGTTCCCACGTCAGAAAGATGTCGACGTCGGCGCGAGAGGGGACAGGCGGTCCCACGTCAGAGCCGTCCAGCTCCACCTGGAGAGGCATATGAGGTTCTTGGAAGTCGACATTGCTTCCTTCGGGAAGCCAAGGATCTGAATCTGTGCAGCGTATTGTGTAGTCGTCCTGTACCGGTATACAGAAGAAATCATCGACGCATTTAAGACCCAACGCCCTTCGTTCAAGAACAAGATGAAACAACAGTGCCGGAAGGACTGCAAAGTCACTGTCTCTATAGCCTACCGTATCACGATGCTCGTCGTACTCCTGTTTCAAGACCATATGGTCTGCACGAGCGTGAAAGACTGCAACAAACATGACTGCCTGCCAGTGGGCGATTCCTGACCTCAAACCCTTGTTCAAGAATTGGCACAGCTCCTCGATTGTGTTATAGCAGCCCTTGATATTGATAGCGTGGCGAAGTGTTTGGTAATTGGGTCCGCCGAGCACCTCTGCCACACTCAACAGTATTGACAGGGTGATTGCAAGGAATTCAACGACTTCCCGTGGCGGACGTGCAACGTTATGAGAATCATGGTCATCGTGCTTGCGAACAGTCTCCAACACTTCTGTCACTGCAATGCTTTCATAGCACGGGGCAAAGTTCTCAGCTGAGAGAGGAAAGAAGATTGAAGCCAGTTTTAGGGCGTTCGCTGTGGGCCTCTTGGATGTAGAGCGCCACTGGGGTCGTGCCTCCATCGAATTTCGGGTTTTCCCATATGCAAAGTCCCACGTGAAAGACAGATTGGCCGTGATATTTTTGTGCACTTCCACGAAGTAACTGTCGTATGCGTGAGAAGACAGGCTCGATTGGGTGCCAAGGAGATTGAAGATCATCGATCCAGATGTGTTCTGGTGGTAGTAATGTGTCACCGGTTGTTGCGCCAAGAGATCAAGAGGGTCTCCCTGGAGCATTTGTCGATCACTCTCATGCTCTCCCCCCGTGACAAGCACCACTCCCCGCGGATTGTCGTGGGGCGGTCCTTCTCCATTCCAAACAGAAATAGCACCAATCATGAAACCGACCTGCTTCAAGCATGATGCAACATGGCTGGTGACGGCACTCCGTGTGAAATATGGTTCCTTATCTCGATTTCTTAACCATCTCAAGAGCCCCACCACATATGCAATATCACCGCTGTCGAACGAACCAGTGTTTGCCCCAGGCAGAACATTGGGGTTTAGAGGCAGCTTTGAAGACTGAATGGCCGCGTCAAATGTCTTCGTCAGGCCTCTAGTCGACCCCTCATTCAAGATGACTTGCACATGGTCCATGAGTTGGGTATTGAGAGCTTCGGCAATACCATCCTGGGAATCAACCAGCAAATAGTCTGCCAGATAGTCCATGAATAACTTCACCGCACGTTCACCGCCGAGATTGTGAGCTAGTGCGCATACTGTGAGGCCGATCAGTTGTGTGACGGGATGTCCGCCGAAAGCGTCAGCCTTGTCGTCGCTGCGCAGAATGATGGTTCCGTCACTGGTAATGAGACGACAGACGGAATCCTGCAACACCAGTTTGAAGTCGACCCGCAAATCACGTAGTATGGACGTGGTCGATTTGTTCCGTAGCCGCGGAAGGCTGTTCAGCACACTCCTGATTCCGTCTAGGCCGCCGAGCCAGCCCCAAGCCGTAGCCGCTGCAGAGGCCGTCGCAACCAAGTCAGCTGGCCCAACTTGAACTTGCTCTAGGGTCAAGCCGTCATTAGTTTTCCACACGTAGGTCGTCATGTCTGTATTCATGGTCCAGAATTCGAGGATTTGAAGTCTCCGTAGCTATGCGGATGGTTCTTGTAGGCAAAGTCAGAAAGGATATCTGCCCAGGTGAGTAGCAAGTGGGGATGATCGAGATCTGGACGTTTGACAAGTCTTGTGGGATACTAATTCTGCAGGTCTCAGGCATCAAGACTCGTAACCCCATGTAGCAACGCAAAATAGTTGCTGGCCACATGTGCATTTCTATTGAGGGTGGGTCGCTGTCCTTTCCGAATGGTCCAGCCAGCAGCATCGGGCGTATGTTGTACGACTTTTCCAGCCTAGCGATGGACTACAGCGTGTCTAAATGACACCCCAATAAACTATGCCAATAGCACGGCTCGATTTGAGGTGCCCAGAGAATCAGCCCAACATGATCGTACCACCACCCCTCATATTATTGCTGCCCACACCAGCTACTGAAGTCATACGCCGTCGCCCTCCAGGCATACGCAGGGGATTCCGAGGCAAGGATTGCCAGGCCCTCCGGAGCCCAGTACGGTAGAGGCGCTCGAGTATATGCCCGAGGGCGTGACCGGTACTACATTGCTCATGTCAAGGAGATAGTTGACGGGGCATGAGCTTCACGATCAAAGATGATTGAATATTGCGAGAAGCTCTCGGTCCACTTTTTACAACACCTCTCTTTGCGCATCACGAGTCGCATCATGCCGTGAAATGGAGGATCTGGCTCGATACCTATGTATGTGGGACCCTTACGTGACGGCTTCGTTCCATGGCAGGGCGCTATGTGGAAAAACATCCTCAGTGCTGCCATGTTTACGGAGCAAGGTGTGGGGCCCTATAACTGAGTATTCTCGGAATCATAAATTGGCACGACCTGGACCTGTCCTATTGAGACGATCAATAGCTTCAGTGGGTGTATAGAGCACTCTCTGTTGATGTTGGTGTAAACTTCTTACTACCTGGACAGATACTTTCTCAAAACAATGAAGAAGTAATACATTGAAATAGTTTCCCTTTCTGATTACTAAGTATGTCCCAATATTTCCCATGCCTCGAATTATTAGTAGCGAATTGAAAATTGAAATCGGCGTAGTGACTTGTATCAGACAAATGGACAGGTAGCTCCATCTTGGTGTTATGGGCGGCAAGTCGAGGGGGAGCACAAAGTAAAGACACTGAAATTCCAAGGATTAAAAGAACGTAGCTATGAGCTGAGGGCGACCAAAGCAGCTGGTGATTCTCGTTGGTATGTCAGAACATGGTCCAAGGGTACGACTAAACGCAGGCGATTCCTTTCCGCAGCCATCCAGGTACAAAAGGTTGCCATCGAGAGGGACTCAATGTTTGAAAGGCAGCTGAGGACGGAGAGAGCCAAAGGGGGAGGGGAAAAAGAGAGAAAAAAATGCCCTGCCAGAGACGAGAATCGGACCTGGCTGTCCTCCTCCAACTTGTTCCACACGAGCAAAATAAACAAGGTGCACCACATGTAACCCAAACAACAGCCCAGGGAACCTAACCGTTCCAATGTTGTGGCGGGATGGGTTGGGATGAAATGCTTTGAAAGGGTGAGGCGTCGGGCATTTCGTTTGTCAGTCAGTAGGATGCGTACCAGACTGTCTCAGCTCCAAGTTCAACTTCACATGAGACTCGGGCACCTTCGACAATCTCAATCACCTCCATAGCTACTCGTATAGAGAATTTCAGCCTAGACACGCCTTTCTAGATGCGGCCTTTCGCACGTCACAGTCGCTGAATCAGGTCAAGGGTCAGGTGCGGTCGCTCTACTGCCCCTGACCGTCTCGATTCGCCTGAGCAGACACCTGAGGAGAGCTACCGTAAGTTGGGTCACGTAATTGACCCCTCGCCAGCAGTATAGAGCATTCAAACAAGTCAGGCATCAAATAATAGCCAACGAAGATACCAAAGTGGGCTACGGACAAACGCAGTCGAAGTGTTCAGCCTGCAGGAGATTGCCTCGCCGCTTGGCCAAAGTCAGCTGCCAAATAAACAGTGCCTCATTTGCACCAACCCAGAAAGTCACACTGGTATAATACTCCCCCGCTTGTGTCAACCTCGACTACTGATATCAAATCCGAACAGGTGACAAGAGTCGAGAGCAACACAGATTCTCAGCACGCCATGGTGTCGACATCATGTCTCATCATCGCGCATCTCAACGGTGAATTCCAGTGACGCTGATGCTGAGGTCCATGTTCTTTTAGTTAATCTTAGACTCTCCTATTAGAATAATAGAGGTCTTGTATATAAGTTATAACTGTGTCCTTATTAGCAAAGAGATATTAGGCGATTAAGAAACGTCGTTAGGGTTTTCATAATGTGCGGTTTTGCTCCTAAGCATTCCATTAGATATGAAGTTAAAATTGTAGTGCTAATGCAACATTGGCACTTTGGCGGAGTGGTCAACGCGACAGCCGTAAGTTCCTTCATAAAGTAAATCCATATAATCCTGTCTAACATGTTGTGCAGTGCTAAGCTGTTTCCTTCGGGAGCGTGAGTTCGAATCTCACAGGTGTCGAATGCGTTCATTTTTTATTTTTTATTTTCAATAACACTTATTATCCTTTAGTATTTTTTCCTACTATAGGGAATAGCTTAGTAGACCTATAGATTTTTATATAAGCTACTGTCAGGTAACTATTAATAGGGATGTGGGTGTATGGGCCCATACGGGCGATTGAAGTGAAGTGGGACCTACCCTTCTGCACTGGGTAATTTCTCATATCGATAGGCGGGCTTCTGGAATCTAACAGGTGAGATGGTCCTTACGTCGCAATGGCAAAGGGCTTAAGTTGACTGTAACAAATGGTTAATTTACAGCTAAGGTTGCCTAACTAAAAAAAAGGAAAGGGAAGCAAAGCTGTGTGTGATGCAGCGTTGCTGCAGTTTTGATGCACGGACGGTAGCCTTGACTGGCACACGCACCCTCTCACTTTAAGGTGCTCTGCGTGTTTGGGCTTTGGCGCTGTCTTGTTACCTGTTGCCAGAGCGCGAACAGCTTGTCGCCGATTGTGTATGTCGTGAAGATTGATCTTGGAAATGTGGCCTTTGAATTGGAGGGCCGCCGTGTCTGCAAATAAATTGTTTCACCCGCAGCATTCCGAATATCAATTCCTTCCGTGGTGAAATGGATCGTTCGAGTATCCCCTGGCCCGTCAGGAATCAATGACGGTCCACTCTTCCAAGTGAGCCCTTCAACTTTGGCGGAGCTTTCAGAGGGATAGTACCTGATTTGAATTTCTCCGTGGGGACTGATTCTGATTTTGCTGCCATCCAGGTCTTTCTGTTTTACCGGTATGATATTAGGTCCCCTGTTCCGTCTCTTCTTCATTGGGAGATCCAACTGCGATGGATCACTGACAGAGAGATCTTCGTCTTTCATAGGTAGGTCTAGCGTTTCCTCTATTGTCAGCATGTCTGGAGCCCCGCCGAGAATATGTGCTTGGTCATTTTGCGCATCGAGCTCTTGATCCATAGCCACGGAAGCCAATTGTCTGAAATCCATTTGAGCTTCATGCTCAGGCTCAAAGTCGAGGTGGTCCGCGCGTGATGGGAAGCTGTCCTTATGCTTCAAGGACTGTTGGTTTTTCGAGTCCATACGAATGGTCTCTAAGATGTTCTGTACCTCGTCTACACATTCGAATACATCCCCGTGGCGCGCCTTCGGAAGGTCGCCCTTTAGTTCGAAATGACTCGATGACGTTGTTAGGGGGGATGGCGACTCCTGGCTCTGAGATGTCGATGAAGCCCAAGCACCCTCACCTCCTAAGGCAAGAAACTTTTCATTGCGTTCTCTGCGGTGTCGGTCGGTCAGATCTGTGATATGTTTCTTCATACTCCGGAATGCCTCAACATCGAACGGCTCATTTTGACGTTTCCGGGAACCGCTGGGCCCAGAGATGATAGATCTCTTTTTCGACCTCGGGAGGGCGGATAGCACCATCAAAAGACCCCAACTCAGAGAACCGGCAATAGTTTCAATCTTTCGAATATCCTCCAGGTGATCGATGCCTTTTCGGGACAACCAGGCCCGCAATCCCTCATCTAGGGTGTCGGTAGTCAGTTTGGGGTACCCCTTCCGTTCCAATGCCACCCTGGAGATGATAGACCGCTGGATAGAGCTTGATTCAATGAAGTATGGTCTGATCCCGGCCAATGAGGTTATGGATACTCTAAATCTCAAAACCTCACTGACCCGGGTGACAGCCGTGGTGCTCATAGTAGGGAGGTTCGCTGGAAGCTCTGAACAACGAATAAAAAGGCGAGCTATGCCGGACGCAGTACCGTCGTCGACATACATGGGGTATTTATAACCACGGAGCTCGAGCATGAATCTCATAGAAAGCCCCAAGGCAGTCCGAATCGTGTGTTCGGCCAAAAGTCCGCACAAGAATATGACCCGTAGCCGACTCGCCCTGATGAGCGCAGCGTGCTTCTCGAGAGCCGACGCAGCTGCGGACACGGTCTGCAACATTCGATTCAGGCCCTCCACATCGAGAATTGAGACATCATTGAAGTTTGGGGTCCACACAAGTGTATTTGATGCGTTGAAGCCGCAACCCGTGAGTGACCATGGAAGCTGACCAAGAGCAAGCGACGTGTCCTTCCCTGCTATGTGTCCATGCTGCTGTCCAACCGTAGGTGGGCAAGACTCATGAGGCACGACAAATCCGATTCTTGCTGTCATGTTGCCAGTCCATATCAATGAGTTCAGGTCGATGTCCTCTGTGTTCTCAATAAGCCCCTCTTCAGTTACTGCAGTCGCCAGCGAAGCTGTGATCACCTGTAGCAAATAACCATCCGGTATTGCGTTGTTCAAAGCCGCAGTGAAGTCAGATCGGAACAACGGTCGGTGGTTTGTGCGGAGAACCTCGCGTTTTTGCTTGAAAGCTTGACGAAATCCCAGCCAAGCTTGGATTTGTCGATCAGGAGATCTGGAAATCGCTTTGGAAGCTTTCAACTTGAGAAAGCTCAGTCCCTGACCACCTCCCTGAATGAGTGGCGTCATAACATTGAGTCCATAGTAACTCAAAGCGATTTCGTCCTTGGTAAGAACACCCTGCATCGACCTGAAAGCTTTGCAGAACAAAGCCTCCAGAATGTTGGCCCTGATCTGGTACCATTGATCTAGTGTTTCTGACTCAGGGAATTGCCAAAGCCGGATGAAATTTGCGGTCCGGTGTCCATTGCCCATCCATATCATGAAGTGATGCAATGATGTGCGCGAGCCCTTGAGGATACTCTCAGAATGCTGCCGCAGGATCCGACGTACGGGGTCGTTGAACTGCCCAACATAGAACCGCAACCAGTTGTTTTTTCGGTCATCCGTGACAAAATCAAGATAGCCACCTGCCCCTTTCCATGATGTGGTCATCTGTTCCTTTCGCACTTCCTGGAGCATCTGAGTGGTCACTTCTCTGCCGGAAAGGCATTTGACCTCAGGAGAGACGAGTTTGAAAAGGTGCTTTGCGACGGCCTCCACGCCACCATGATCTTGTACTTCTGCATCGTAGGGCAACTCGTTAGAGCCTTCAATTAAATCGTTCATAATGTCCACAAGCATTTGTTGGCTTAGGCCATCAAGGTCCGGAAAGGTAAAGGTGTCGAAAACCTCCAAATGCTAAGAGAACATTAACAAAACCAATTGACACGGACTCAAACAAATATAGTCTCATCGAATTTACATTTCGAACTTCCTCAGGAATTTCTTTCCATTCGTCGTCATCATGAGGAACTGTTGGGACAGCGATGCTGAGGCTTTGCTGCGAGAAGCTTGCAACCCCTAGAGCAAGAGATCGTGTAGTCGCCTCTCTCAACGCATTGGCCGAGTCTGCGTGCGAGTATTGAGGGGCAGGTAAGTTTCGTGGCAGCGATCTGGCGTAGGATTGAGAGCATCCCGTGACTTGAGGGCAGTGGATTGGTTTGTGGCCCTTGGTGTTACACAATCGGCACGGTTCGATCCTTGGGCAGTCCTTGATTGCATGGTTCTTGCTGTGGCAGTATTTACAGCCAGAATCCTTATTGCATTGTTCGCAGTCGCGTTTCGTAGTCCCTACCCGGCCGCAACCGTAACAAACGGGTTCTCGGAAGGACATGTTGCCGGCTGTGGTATGAGTGCTGCAATGGCCTCTTGCTTGAAGGAGCTGGTTTCGTCGTCCGTGAAAACTGTCGTTTGGTGACTGTGAGTGAAATTGAGCGGATGACTCTAACCTCCAAGGACTTGGTTTCGGGACACCATGGCTGGATCCGATGTGTCACGAGAGGGGCATATGGGAGGCGAAGCTCTCAAGTCTTGCTCAACTTTGTAGAATTCAGAATAAGACGTGGTGTGACCAAAAAAAAACCCAAAAAAAACGAGGACGGAGGAGATGACTCCTCCGATGACTGCGGAGGTCTAATAGCTGAACGGCTGGTGGCTGCAGGTGGCCTGTCCGCGGCCTGCCGGCCGCAGCGTTAGCTAACACTAGCTGTTAAACTGTGGACTTAAAAAGTCAAAAAAGACAGTCAAAAAAGACAGTCAAAAAAGACATGAAAAAGGATTCGACACCTGTGAGATTCGAACTCACGCTCCCGAAGGAAATGGCTTAGCACTGCACAATTTGTTAGATGGGATTGGGTTAGGTGGATATGTTTTATCAAGGAACTTACGGCCATCGCGTTGACCACTCCGCCAAAGTGCCGTGGTTGAATTCCTTGCTTATATGCACGTATATATTGTTAAACCGTGGGGCTAAATGCATATAAGGCCCTCTAGGCCTACTCCCACAGCTTATCTTATCAGCCGAACAGGGGTGCCATGTCCACTTTGTAGAAGTACATCGGAGGGATTAGCCATACAGCGGACGTCAGATATATCATTATTGATCTGATTGTGGCGCCCGGAGTATGTGAGGCCCCGCCTATCCTGGAGGAAAAGCTCTGAGGCTGAAGGAATAGCCAGAAGCTGTTGCAAGGTCCAGCTCGGACAAGTCAACAGTCTTGTGTTTTGGTCGCTGAGGTAGGTCTGGCGGTTTTGGGTTTCTCCGGTTGCAGTCGAATGATGTCGGGGGATTCGACACCCAGGAGACTCCGAGGGCGACGGTGTGACTGATCAAGTACGCTACGATAGATCGAGGCCGGCCAAGAGAAACCTCTGCGGTTAATGGTGGGTACCGTATTAGCAGTGGCCCGCGCCGGCATTGCGGTAGCAAGCGAGCCCGAATTCTGGGTGATTGGACGAAGGCGTCTGACATTTCACGGCACCCTCGGAGCAGAAATTCCTTGTAATTCTCACCCTGCATGCATCAAGGTGGGCGAATGATTGCATGATAACCCTGCAGATGTCAGGTCAGACGGGCAGGGAAGGGGGCCTTCGCGCCGACCTACCATGGCATCAAACAACGTGGGCGCCTTTCTGCTTTTCCCGCTCGAAGCCCGAGTCTGGAGAGCCCCACAGCCAAAACCCGGGCGGCAGACTTACATAGCACATTTGCTGTAGTGTGGATCAGAATGTGTTGCTCGTGGTATTGGGTTGGTCAAAGTCTGTCAGCGACCGTACTTGCAGAAATGGGTCCCGACACGCCCGGTATGCCAAACAAGCCAGGTTAGGACCCGCCTGCAACTTTTTACAGTCAGGGATCGAGACCGCCAGGAATGCAGAATCTGACGGATTCGGTATGGGGAGCACCATCACTCTCAATGTTGGCGATATCGGTCAGACAGCACGTTGAGCCTTTATTGTACAATTGTACAGCCGTGGCCAGATTTAACCCAACCCCGGCGGCGCAGGCATGGACTTCGTGGCTGGAACATCATGGCAGCAGGTCTTGTGTGCAGGATGGTGTAGCTGTTTTCAGCGGCCGCGGCGCAAAGCTAACAGTATGAGGTAGGGCACGGGTCCTTATCGCAATCGTGAGAAAGTGAGGCTCCGTACATGCCGGCAGATTCTGACACTGTGACAAGGGGGTTGGGCTCCGGAGTGACGTCGCGGCGCTAGTCGAGCCCCGTGAGTAATAAACTGCACGGCGCCGTGAAATCGGCGATCGCAGCAGCCCAAGGCCGAATGCCAACACTGGCTAGCGACCACTTGCGCTCGGCTGGGGCTGCGAGATCGTACGAGGCAGCTCGGTATCTGGTCGAAGATGCGGCCACCTGTGTCGCGTCTCGATGCAAGCTTGAGGCGAAACGAAACGGGGGGGGGGTGCCCCTGGGCAGCGTGGTAGTTGGCAAAGGTCGAAGCTGAAACCCGTCGTCCCGCCGCTCGTTGGATTTGCAGGATCGCGCCCGCGCCGCACCGCACAGGAATCCTCAGGATGCTCAGGACGCTCTCTGGGTGCGACAAGGTTCAGCTGACAAGACGAACATGGATGGAAACCTGGCCAACGCGTGGGGTTTGTCTCGTGGCGCCGAGCAAAAACCCCGGGCTGACCAACTCAACTCCGGGGATGCCCTCTGTTGCACGCATTTATGTGTATGTCGATAGTCTAGGGCGACGGCAAAGTCTTAGTCGCAGTGACTCATGGGCCGATCGCCTTGTTCTTATGCAGGCAGTTGCCAGCGCGTTGGGAGAAGCGTGAGTCAGCACTTGGGATTGTTGCGGCTGGTTCGTCGACTTGCTGCAATAATAGTCTGGTCCAAGGCCACTTTGGTGGTGAGGCAGGGTGGCATGTGATTGAAAGATCGCGTGTGACTGGACCGGACTTTGCGGATGGACCGGAGGAGGAAAAGCACGGCGGCGAGGGCGTGACAAAAAACGCGAGGACGAGGTTGAGGACGAGGAGGTTGTCGACACTCCCGAGCTCGATGGGCCGGTCGGATTCGACCCACCTGCGGTACCTGGAACCTGGGTACAGGGGTACATAAGGACCCCTCACAGTCTGTCCACAGTGTGCGATTCCTGAGCCTCGCCCAGCCTTGGGGGAAGCTACAGCTCCTTAGCACCTTAGCTGGGCAGACGACCGTTGGTTTCTTTCACCCAGACAAGAAACTAATTGCCCAGTCGCGCCGCCTCGGCAGCCTCGGATCTTAGCTCTGCCCAAGAACGGCGCAAGGGACGTCCAGGAGCCCCCCAAGGGGAGCAGGCGTCAGCATGCTGTGAGACCTAGGTCAGTAGGGTATTCCGGGCGACTGGTTGGTGAGGTCATGCCGTTGTGTTCCCGCCCCGCAGGGTCAACGCGACAGGCTGAAGGGATGTGGGAGCTGGGAGCTGCAGTTGTGATTGTGGTATCATGGTCGTGGGCGGGTTTCGATCCCACTGATTGATTCTCCTCTGCTGTTTCCCATTACCAATCCCGGCCGGCGCTTGGCCTGCCCCCAGTCATGGAAGTACTGTGCTCCATTCCGCCCACGACTGTTCTCGGTAGGTGCCACCTGCCGCCCCATCCACCATAACCACGAACGGGTCCAGTCCGAACAATATAACCATGCGCCCGCCTCGCCTGGGCTCGCCTGGGCTGGCCATCCCATGTCATATCTGCCTCAGCCTTTGAGAGCTTTGGTCTCTTGTCTCGCTCCCGTCCCTACACAAGATCCCGTCCCCACCCCCTTACCCAACACAAGTACTTAAACTAGGCATCTATATCAACGCTGTTGCTGCCGAACTGATGCCCGCCTGAGCACACCGACATTGTCGCAGCAGTCGTCATAACTTTACAGTTCTTGCTGCCAGTACCAGTCGACAAGCTTCCTCCGTGTCGAAGCCCCATTTCTAGAATCAGTCCGAATGCGACCGGCCACAAGACCTGCCTTCCGTCTGCTTGCAACAGCTGCGGTCCTGGGAGCCGTGCTCCCGGCCGTGCTGGCGCATGGAGATGAGGGCATAAACGTGGACGGGGATATGGACGGGGCCATGGACATGGGCGCCCAACAGCCGGAAAATGACGCTCAGGAATACCCGCCCAACTACTTCAGCCATCCGGAGTACAGGGGGGTTCTGGTTGCCCACATTGCACTGATGGTGCTGGGCTGGGTCTTCGTGCTGCCCCTGGGTGAGTCTCGGTCGAATGCGCCTTCTCGTGAGGTTTCTTGCTGACCCTTTTTGTGCGACAGCGACCATGTTCTCCCTCGCGCGGTCACGCTATACCCTTCCAACACAGTTCGCATTCCTCGCGGTTAACGCCCTCGGCGTCCTGTTCAGCACCATCTACAATGCCAAAACCCCCGATCTATACCCCGATAATGCGCACCACAAGCTGGGCTGGGTTGCGACCTGGATCCTCTCCGCGCAGGCCCTGGTCAGCCTGCTCGGACGCCTCGCTGGCGCGTTCAGCAGGAAGACCAACAGTGCGCTGAACACCTCCGAGCGCCAGGGCTTCCTCCCCGTCTCGCGAGCTGCCATGGACGAGCACCACCGCCTGCATAGCTCGCCCTACAGCGCCTTGCACCGCCACTCGGATGATAGCGGCCACGGCACAGGGTCCCGGCCCGAATCGCCCAGAAGCTCATCCTTCTCGTCGACCCCTGACACTCTAGCTAGCCCCAGTGCTCAGACAGCGCACAAGACCTTCCACGATGAGGACGAGGATCTCGAGGCTGATCTCGACCTTCCTGCCTTGCGGCGAGGTGATGCCATCCGCAACTTTGCGACCAAGATTGGCTCCAAGATCTCCTCGCGCGCGTGGCGGGTCCTGATCCTCGCCTACAACGTCGTTGATCGCACGAGCATGATCCTGGGTTTTGTGGCGCTGTGTACTGGTGTCATTACTTACGGCCGATTCTTCGAAGGAGGCATGATCTTCACGGGCCTCGCACACTGGATCAAGGGCGGCTTCTTCTTCTGGCTGGGCATCTTCACTCTTGGGAGGTGGTGCGGCAGCTTCGGTGACCTTGGATGGGTAAGTCATCAGCCCTGCTCCTCTAACCGACAAGCAGCGCCGTTCTTGTGTTGCGACGGAATACTAACGCCGCGGTACGTGATACAGGCGTGGAATGTGAAACCCAAATCTGCCAGCGGCCGATGGACCCCGTCCGCCGAGTTCGTCGAGAGCGCTCTCATCTTCTTCTACGGCTCGACCAACATTTTCCTGGAACACCTAGGCGGTTGGGGCGGCGGGTGGAGCGCCGAAGACCTCGAGCATATCTCAATTACCGTGCTTTTCATCGGAGGTGGCCTGGTAAGTAGTCATCCCCCTCTCTGGAGCCTCATCGCCTTACCCGGCACGCGCTACTGCACCAACGCGGCGACGCTAACCGCTTGTACCCCAGTGTGGCATGTTGATCGAGTCCATAAGCATCCGCGACCTGCTGAACACCACCGTCGCTGAGGCAGCGCAGGAAGCCTACGACGAGGATGAGCGCGAGATGGCTCTTGAGGAGCCGCGCTCATACAACTTCTCCACAAACCCGATCCCGGCGCTCGTGATCTTCCTGCTCGGGATCATGATGTCCAGCCACACGCAGCAGTCCATGATCAGCTCCATGGTGCACAAGCAGTGGGGCAACCTGCTGACGGGTGCATCTTTCGCCCGCGGCTTCTCGTACGTCCTCACGTATCTCAAGCCGCCCACGTCTGTCCTGCCATCGCGACCGCCCACGGAACTCCTCACCAGCTTCGGGCTGATGGCGGGCGGCATCATCTTTATGGCCTCGAGCGGCGATACCGTCCTGGGAATGATCAACCAGAACCTGGACGCCATGTTCATGTACACCGTGACCATGGGCCTGATCGGCGTCTTCATGGCGTGGGAGATCATTCTCATCGCCA